TCCTAGGGGAAACACTGAACCAGAATGCACAAAGGTAATGAACATTTTTTGCGAGGTAACGTGAAAGAAACAACTCCCCCAATGTCTCTCTGTGGGCTCTATAGTAGTGTTGTAGACACTAAATCACTGGAAGAAATAATTTTTGGCACATTATCAAGAATGCCAAACTTTTCTTACATTCTTCAGTTGGAATACAACCATCTGGGTTTTGTTACAGACACTTTCTGCATTCTGACACAGATATTGTTGTTGCTCTTCTTCAGTCGGTAACATTTTGTAACACGCCTGTCTTCACTCTCCCGTCTGGTCACTTTAGTCTGGAATGAGAGCGAAACATCCACACACACCGGTAGAAATGTGTGTCTTCGTCTGTTCTCTTAGCGATCAGTAACCGGAGACATCGGGGCTGATGACAGGTCAGGTCCTGCTTCTTACAGACTCTGTACATTCAGTCTCCAGAGCAACAGGACACCAGCTATTCAGACTCTGATGCCTTTCATCCAATTCATCGCTGTAAAATGTTGGAGTGGAAGTTTCACAGATTATACAACTCACAATAGCAATAAATTATTTTGTTTCACTATATCTGAAAGTTGTTTTTTTTTTGTAATAAAATGAGTATTCTGTTTTCTTTCTTTCCCAGACTATGGTGGTTCGTCCACAATGAAATACAGCACCTACACCCCAAGTTATAGCTCAAAATCTTCCTATATGTACTCAGGCACCAAAACAATGGTGAGTAAAGCAGCCTTGTTTAATTTTAATTATACAATTACGAACTACAGTGTGAGTCAGAAGTCACAGGACACCCTTTTATTTCAGAAACGAGAGAGAAAATGACATCTGAATACAAGTAATGGGTAAGGTTGGGGGGGCTATCTTTGGAAGAACTTGCACTTGATCCAGTGTGGCAGCTTTCAAGATGGCTGCCGTGTTCTGACATAGGCCCCCTTTACCCATTATTTACTGGGATATTCTGATGTGTCAACTTTTCTTAGGTAAAAGGGTGTCCTGTGACTTCTGACTCACCCTGTATATATTGTGGAAATACACTGATCACTTCAGGTTTTATTTAGATGTTTCAGGAAAAATAAACACTTGACTTCAACCTGGGTCAAACAGGACACAGCATGTGTGATATTTGACAGTAGGCTGCGAGTTTTCAAGCCTACCCTTGAGATTCCGCTGTTTCAGTGGTGGGACAGAACGACGCAGGCTGTTTGAGCTGCTGCTGTCAGACACCTTATGTTATATTTTAGACCTCTGAATGTTATCACTTGTCAAAATTAGAAAGCACCTTATGTATGAAGTGAAATGACTTGTGTCCATTTCATCTTTTCATGTACGTCACAGGATCATGTTGTGTAAAGTGTAAAAGTGACATCCATCTTTATCTCCAGGGTCCTCGCGTGTCCCAGAGGCAGGAGTTCAGCTGCCGCTCTGCAGCACCGGACCTGGCCCACTTTCAGAGGATGAGCGTAGGGGGAGGCGGAGGCGGTGGAGGTTTTTACCAAGAAGAAGTACGTATGGGCGGCGGTGGATACCAAGCAGGCATGAGACAGCCGAGCAGAGGGGACCAAGAAGTCATGACCATGCATTCGATTCGAAACATGCCTGCTGGGAATCCCTGGATGGTCGATAACAGCGATGCGGGCAGCATGGTCTCCGAACGCGACGGCATCTTCGGCCGTCAGTACGCTCAGAGCGCAGTGAACGGCTTCACTGGACAAGTGAGGCAAGGAGGCTTCAACACGATGACCCAGCAGGGCATGCGCCGGTCTCAGAGTGGCACCCTCACCCGCAGCACCGGGATGATGGGAGGAGGAGGCGGGGGAGGAGGAGGAACTGAAGTATTCCAACAGCAGCAGTCCTTTAAAGGCCCGGCCTTCCGCACGATCAGCAGGATCACAAACCGGAACCGGTCGAGCGTTGGCTCCGTGTCCGGGAACCAGATGACCGCGAGCGCCAGCAACATGGGGGCAGGAGGAGGAGACCGAGTGGATGGAGGAGGTTTTATGATATCCAACTTGTCTGGTTCTCAGGGGAACCTCATGCTGCAGCGTCAAGGAAACTTGGCCCGCAGCATGTCGATCAGAAGCATGCAAAGTGTCGGCAGGGGTATGGACATCTACGGAGGGCAGATGGAACTGGGGGCCAGCAATGGCAACCTGAGCGGGTGAGGAGTTTAAAAAAACTAAATCAAAACAACCAAACGAATAAAGCAAATGAATTAAGTTTTTACTGCAAAAAATGACCCAATATAAACATTTCAACCCTGTGTGCATCCATTATCCAAAAAACCTTTTCAAAACTAATGAATGAAACAGATTTCTAACATTTCCTCTGATGATGGTCAGTGCTGTAAACCCAGAACACTACACTAATTAATCCACTATATGTGTCTGATTTATATAAGCCCAGATGTTTTGCATTGTTTATTATTTAAGACGGACAATAACTCAATATTTGGAATCTGTCAGTAGTACAGAAGCAGTGAACTGTAGTTGTTTTGATGACTCGGTTTCTTTCAAAATCATTTGCAGATTTACTGAAAGCGATGAGCCAGAGTTGTAACTTTTCTGCATCATTATGGCGGGACGGTCGTTTTCTTGGAGCTTTGTGTTGGGGAGGCGGCTCCGAAGTGGCAGGACTGGTTTTTAGGTTCAGGGTGTGGCAATTCAGTTTAGGGCCTCGCATTTCACACATCCCATAATGAGCGGTTAGGCGTGTGGATTTGCAAAAAACATGGCTTCTTTGTTGTTTTGTTTTTGAAAAAGTTTTATCAAGCTGAATTAAGTTTTTAGCTGCTCTTACCCAAAAGACACATTTAGCGCCACAGAATGGTTGACAAGATTATGTTTTGAATTTGTTTGTTTGCTTCTTTGGCAGGATCCAGAACATCAATATGGAGGAAGCAATACAATATCTGAAAGAGGACGACCCTGAGTTGCAGGTCTTGGGTGCAGCCTACATTCAGCATCAGTGCTACAATGAGAAAACGGCAAAAGAAGAGGTACTTTAAAAGCAGCTTGAACTTGTGGTTTGAATTCCTCGTTCCTCTCTGCATTCCTTCACAGAGACGCTCAGCCATGAAAATTGTTTTTCTTCAAGGCTTGACAACCATTGATTGATGTCTCTCCATTTGTGGGAACACTTAAAGACACCAAACACTATAAATTCAAAGCTTTCTTATTATTCACTGTTCTATAGTTCATCACATTGAGTTAAACCTCCTCTATCTGCTCCTGAACTGTTGTCAAACAAATATACAAGGTTTAAATGAATAAGACTATTATTATTATTATTAAAATATAAATACAAATAGCAATAAGATGTTATAAAAAATAAAACAAGCCAAAAAGTGTTGCATTGTATGATTGAGATAGGTAGCAACAACAGGTAAAAACATTAGAACTGAAATGTTTACAAATAAAAGGGCCATTCAAATATTATTGAGATAGTTGTAATTTAAATATTTGAAAAGTTATTTTCCAATGTCTGAATTTGACAATTTCTGGTGTCCCAATTAAAAAAAAAACCATCCCCATTTCTGCTGTTTTTGTTTATTTTTGAAGGTGCGTAACTTACAAGGTATCGAACCACTGGTGAAGCTATTCAACAGCCCCAACCAGGATGTGCGGCGTTACGCCACTGGTGCCATGCGCAACGTCATCTACGAGAACAAGGAAAACAAGGTGGTCCTAATCGACAAGCAGGGCATCCCAGAGCTGGTCAAGGCGCTCAGCGAGCCTGATGATGACCTTCACAAAAACATCACAGGTAGGGAAATGTCCAACTTAGTTGTTGAAACTGCAAAAGCATCTTCAGAGTATTGGGGTGGTGTGGGGTGTGTGTGTGTGTGTGTGTGTGTGTGTGTGTGTGTG